CGCGCCCTTCGGCAATCTCCGGAAGGGCTCGGGCATTTCCGGCCGGGCCTCGTTGGAAGCCCACGCCGGAGCCTTGCGATCGGCGGAAGCCTCTCGGGCTTTTCCGGAAAAGGAGGTCCCCGGCTGGGACGGCCGTGGGTGGGGCCTTCTCCTGAGCCCAGCCGGAAAGGGCCGAAGACATTCGGGTTGTGTCCCCCGGAAGGCTTCGGCCCACCCCATAGAGCGGGTCTGTCTCCCCTCCCTCGTATCGAACTTCGGACGGAGGGGTGGGTGGAGCCTCGGCAGGACTTCGGAGGAAGAGCGGGCTCCTTCGCGTCTTTCCGCCGATCTTCGCCAGAGAGGGGAGACTCGAGCACCTTCGGCCAACATCGGCCTTTTCCGGAACGACAGGTTAACTCTTTCCTCCCCGCAACGCTTCCCTTTCGTAGAGTGAACCATCACGCGCAGAATTTCATTTCTGTTTTAGTGGTCACAACTTTCAAGGTGGAACACGTTGGAATGCCTGGGTTGAGTGTGCATTGAACGCCTTGGTGAGCGCATGCACGCATGCAAATATGTTGGATATGGTGGCTAAAATTGTGATCCCCTTAACATTATTTATAATTTTATTTATAATCCTGCAAAATTATTTATAATCCTCCAAATTATTTATAATTTTATTTATAATCCTGCAAAATTATTTATAATGATTTATAATCCTGCAAATGCATCAATGCATTAATTGCACACTCCACAGCACCTTTACTTGCTTTATGATCTGTTTTGTTTGGACTCTTTTTAAACTAAAGGAGAAACTTGACAGGGTAGCCCGATTTTCTTTTTTTCAGTATAAACACAAAACTTCTGCATTAGTTCACAACCCGGATTTTGTCTTCGAACAACCTTCCCTGTTTGATTTACAACCTCTGGACCGGCCATGGTTAACCTCTTTTTGTGCTAAAACTGTTGTAAAGGAATATTCTAGCCGTGAATAACCCTTTTCATTGCGTTGGTGGGTTCGCAAGGGGAGGGGAGCGCCGGTCTGGGAAATGGTTCAGATAAAATATCCTTTACAAGCCCCCTTGGAATTTGACAAATGCATTGACCGCGCAGGTTCGGCGCTTTCGAACGGGGAGCACGTTTGGGCAAAAGACCTTGGTGTAACTCAAACCTGCTACTAAAAAACCCTGCCTAATCCCCAGGAAGATACACACAGATTCTAACACCAAAACAGCAGCCACTCGTTAACCCAAACCCCCC